ACCTGGATGATGTGATGGCAGCCATAGTGTGCCAGAACGCTCACCAAACACCAGCTCTCAGTGGGGAGGAGAGCAGAGTGATGGAGCCAGTTCAGAGATGGGGATTATTAGGAGGCCATGATTGGTAGGGGCCAATGGGAAATTTGGCCAGGATGCCGGGGTTACACCCCAATTATTTTCAAGAGATGCCCCTGGGATTTTTCATGACCAAAGAGAGTGGGGACCTCAGTTTTACGTCTCATCTGAAGGACGGCGCCTGTTTACAGTATAGTGTCCCCGTCACTATACTGGGGCATTAGGACCGACACAGACCGCAGGGTGAGCGCCCCCTGCTGGGCCCACTAACACCTCTTCCAGCAGCAACCTTAGTCTTTCCCAGGAGGTCTCCCATCCAGGTACTGACCAGGCTCACACCTGCTGAGCTTCAGGGGGCTGCCAGTGGTGAGTTGCAGAGTGATATGGCTGCTATCACACCTTCAGGACAGGTGAGTCCCACTAGCCTCCCCCGCAGGGCCATGATGGGGCTCATCTCAGAACCTTCTTGTGTTACTAATCATTTGCTATTCAGATGCTTTTCAGGAATCTTTATCCTTGAATCAGACCCACCCTACCCCTTATGTGATCTCCTATCTATTCCTCAGGAATTTCACTGACACGCTTGTCTCCGGCAAAGTTAGTTGCTGTATATTATCTTTATTCCTAAGCTGTTACGGAACCAATAGTTTTGGCTTTAATAAACTTCCCTGAGGTAATTAACTGATTTAGCAAAAGATGAGCAATTCCCATAGTACCCCCCTCCAGCCCAGAGTGGACCCATCGCTCATGGGGATTAATGTCAGTTCATTAATGGAATGTCGACCCCCCCAGGATTCCGGCTTCTCTTCCGAGACGTCAAGGAGATCCAGAGGATCAAGGCAAAGAACCTGAGCTTCCAGCAGCTGCCATACCGGGACATGGAGACCCTCAGGCAGGTGAGTCCGGGGCCCCCTGCTGGCCATCGCTCGGAGTGCCCTCAGTCAGTGCCATGTGTGTAATTCATAGTCTTTGGTTGTTTTGATTTTTCTTTGGAATCTCCAATTTCTAATCGACTTCAAGTTCAAGTTTATTCTCATTATACTCATACACAGGTATATGGTATAAAGAAATGCTATTTAGCTAGCTCTCAGCTCTGCGGTAAGTAGTACAAAAAACAACAACACAATTGTATAAGAAAAGGAAGACAGACACAACAGGCAATGTGCAGAACAACAACAGGTAACAGGTTACGTGCAAAACAGTCATTTTCCATGTTACCTGAAATTATTTTCAATGTGTTACGTTTAGGTTTTATACATTATTGCACATACAAGGTTATTTCTGTGGATAAAATATTTCCAGATGCACTTAACCCCTGTAGTAGTTAGGCTACTGTAAGACACACCCACTCATGAAGAAGGCGTCCACAGCATCCAGTCTCCTGTCCCTCCTCTTCCTGCAGAGAGGACATCATTCTGCCTCTCCAGCAGTGTGGGTGACGCACACTGACTGGGTGTCTCTGGTTTCCCTCATGTCATTACTCTGCCCTTGTGTGTGGATTCTCTTCCTGCCGCCAGCTGTCCAGAACACGAACATCTAATCCTGATCTCAACTCCCCTTTCTTGTCCTCCTCTTTCCTGTCCCCTACCTGTCTCCCTCTCCCTCCTCTCCCTCACGTCTCTCCCTCTCCCTCTCCCTCACCGGTCTCCCTCTCCCTCCTCCTCTCTCCTGTCCCTCACCTGTCTCCCTCTCCCTCCCCCTCTCTCCTGTCCCTCACCTGTCTCCCTCTCCCTCCTCCTCTCTCCTGTCCCTCACCTGTCTCCCTCACCTGTCTCCCTCTCCCTCCTCCTCTCTCCTCTCCCTCCTCCTGTCTCCTGTCCCCTACCCGTCTCCCTCTCCCTCACCTCTCTCCATCTCCCTCACCTCTCTCCATCTCCCTCCTCCTCTCCTCCTGTCTCCCTGTCGTGCTCCTCTCTCTCAGTTCCGCAGGGACATCGTTAAGGCTGCTCCATTGGTGCTGATCTCCATCCCACCCTTTGCGAACTACCTGGTCTTCGTGCTCATGTGAGTGTGTCCCCGCTGCAAGGCCTGGTGCATTACCTCCGGGGGTGCTTTGGGTTTTGAGGGTAAATTGCTGCAGGTTCTTTCTGTTGCCTTGCTATGGATCTCTGTGTCGGCCCCCTGCGGCCCTCAGGTCCCTCTCTCTGGAAACGGAAGAGCTGGGCGCAGGAAGGTTCTCTTCCTCCCCTCGGCAGGTACCTGTTTCCCCGGCAGCTCCTGATCAGGCACTTCTGGACGCCGCAGCAGCAGCTGGAGTTCCAGCAGATCTACCACCGCCAGCGGGCGCAGCAGTGCCCGGCGATCCTCGGGAGGCTGGCGAGAGAGGTGCCCTGCGTCACCAACAAGCCACTGCAGAGCCAGCTGCTGCACCTGTGCAACAAGGTACCCAGCGCCTGGGCAGCCCGGCCGAGCCCCGCGGTCAGCGCCTGGGCAGCCCGAGACTGAGTCCCGCTGTCCTCTGTGTCCAGGTTCAGAGCGGCGCCCACCCCAGCGTGTCGGAGATCCAGGCTGTCCGCAGGCTCTTCGCCGGACCACCCCTGGGGATGAATCGGCTAGATGCTGAGCACATGGTGAGCCAGCAGGGGGCGATAGTCAATACTCGCTTAAATGCAGCTCCCCTTTTTTACTTTCCCCTCTCTCTCTCCTTTTTCTGAAATGTGCAGTTCCTGTTCATGCTAGTGCTGCCTGTTCTGGAGCCATTAAAATCAACATTTATTGGTTTTGTTAAAATCTCAATCTCAATCTCAATCTCTGTTTCGATTAAATAAATCTCTGAGAAAGTTATTTCTCTGTGTTCCCCCCCTCTCTCTCTCACTGTGTGCTCCCCCCTCTCTCTCTCTCACTGTGTTCCCGTCTCTCTGTCTCCCCACAGAGGTTACTCTGCTCCCAGCTCTTCCTCACGCCCCGCCTCCCGGCTGTCCTGATTCGCCACCGCCTCTGGGACCACGCCTCCAAGCTGCTGCATCTGGACCGTGCTCTGAGCATGCTGGGATTGCACCAGCTGACTGACCCGGAGCTCCGTCAGGTCAGTGAACACACCTGTTCTGACCGTCTTCTGTGTTTTCCTTCCGGAACCTGCCAGCCTGTGCAGTGGATTGCGAATTTGATACATATTTCTATGGATTTCATGTAATTTGCTTCAGGAGTTTCATCCTTCATGTGTCTCTGTGAACCTTGGTGCTTTGCTGTCTGTTGCTCTGTTCCCTGTTAGTCTGGGTTGCATCCTTTTAATAAGGAATGTGCTGAAACGTCCAGGAAATGGTCAATTTATAAACCAGGACACCAGGAGCATGGTCTTGGAATCTTAGGAAATGCACTACCTTTGGTGTTTATTTTGAAAGAAATCTCAGATTGTTGTTGATTGTTGTCATTCTGTGCAGTGGCTCAGAAACTACAGAAGGGCACAATTTCAGACTGTGACCCGAGCCCAGCAATGTCTGCCAGATGTTCTGATTTGCCACAACATAGCTCCAATGCTGGCCTGTTAGCCTGTGACTGACTGTGGTTGACCTGTTGTGTCTTGATTATAACGCCCTGCCCGTCGCTTGGCCAGGCCTGTTACCTGCGGGGGCTCGACTCTACCTGTCTCAGCACTAACGAGTGCAGGGAGTGGCTCTATCAGTGGCTGCAGCTCACCACGCACCTCAAAGGTCAGTATCTCATCGAGAACGGGACACAGGCGCACTCGCCACATCTCTACGGAAGATCAAACACTCACCTAGCAGTAAAACACAAACTGATATCGGCTCTTGGGGCGTGCTTCCATTTGACTTATTTCTGTGCTGTTTCTGTAACCCTGTCTAGAGTTGCTAATGAGCACTCGTCGATTATCCCCCTCTCTGACCTCTTTCTGCTTTCGCTCTCTCTCCACCTCCTTTCTTTCTCAGTCTCGGAGGCCTCTCTCCTGCTGCACAGCATGGTTCTCCTTTCCATCAACTACCCCAGGGGTGCGGGACGCCTGTGAGAGAGAGGCCGTTCCCAGTCCGCCAGGCCGTCCCTGTCCGCGCCCACCCGTTCTTGGCTGAGGGGCGACGCCAGACCCCCCCCCCCCCAGGGCACTCTGACACAGGGACCAGCTCTGAGAGGAAGCCGCTCAGCCCAGTAAATGCGCCCAAGGGCGACGAGAGAGAGGCCCCCCTGCCCTCCGCGTGACCGTCTGGGAGTTCGTGCCTGCCGCCCAGATGGCACCACCGGCCTGCCGCTCTGGCACCACAAAGGGCAGCACAGAGGAGGAAGGTGGCACAGATCTGGGACCAGCGGCGGATGACAGGAAGAGAGCCGCCCGCAGACAGAAAGATAATGGGGGGTGCCGGGGCGGCCCACCTAAGGGACAAGCCATGCCACACTGCTGGAAAGGGGGGTGGCTGAAGGGGACCTTGGCTCGGCTGCTGCCAGCAAGTCGCCTGTGAGGCGCGAGGCGCACTGCTCTGAGACCTCGGGCTCCAGGGGCCGTGAGACGCCTTGATCTCGGGGTGGTGCATCTTATTGTTTCCAAAAAAAACCTCTTAAGGTTGCCCACCTGCCTGGGAACAGCCGATTACAGCATGGGTGTTTTTCACAACTCTCGGCGTGTCCACACGAACCCCCCCCGGACCGCACGCGGGGGAGAACGTGGAACGTGGAAGAGTAGAGCTGCTTTTTTTTTTTGCTGCAAAACAACCACGCCCACCCTCTTTCTCCTCCATTCCTGACCTCGCTTGAAATCAAGTCTGTCTGCTTTCACAGAGGCCCAGCGTGTCCGTGCCTGGCAGTCTGCTGCCGGACCACTCGGCTCTGCGTCCCCCTCGGTGGCTGACTCTGCTCATAGACCCCCCCCCCCAACATCCCCAGCAAAGTAGCCCCTGAGAAAAGCTCCTAAAGGGGGGTTGAGCTTGTCACTGGGGAGCACGTTAGTGTGGCACTCCGGTCGTTGTTCTCCCAATGTCAAGGCAGAGGAACCTGGTGTTTCTTCTTGCTGGAATGGTTCCTCAGCCCGAGCTAATGAAAACCTGAAGCAGCAGCAGCAGCAGAAGCGTCCGGGCTGAGACAGCGGCGAGGGTGAAAAGGACGTCAGCACACGGAAACCAAGACTCTCCCAGCATTCCTGCGCTCGTCAGCCACACAGAAACTGCTTCGGCAGCTGTCAGAAAGGGGGCGCCATTAACGGAGGTCCATTGCAGAGTCCATTGACAGTGTTAAACCTACAGATGTGATTGAGCTTGGGGCTTTTCAGACAACTTCACCGTGATTTCGTATTTCATGAAATGTCACTGTAGAACTGTGTACTTGCAGTCGACAACAAGATGACTGAATCACGTGCTAAAACTGCTTGTTAAAGGAGAACGCAAAACAATCTTGTGATCTTTTTATTTATTTATCGACTAATGTGTACTCCACATGCGTCTTTATTGTGTAGGGATGGCGGTAGCTCACGCTGCAGGAAACTGCACAGCACAGGGACACACGGCTTTGGAGAGAATCCCTGCGGCGGGGACGCGCTTTGGGCTTGTGCCGTTTGTTAAAATCTCCCCCTGTCTGTGTCGAATAAGGTGGTCACCCTGGAGCAGGAATCTACCCATACAGGGTCAGGTCCTCCGCCGTTTCTAGCTGCACAGGCAGGCTGGGCACGGCGGGGCGTGTCCGTGCCGCAGGTCCGGTTCAGTGGCCCGCGACGCCACTGTCCTCACTGCCTTCTCCCGCTCCTCGGAATCCGGTGGCATTTCGGAAAAGTGAAAAGGCAGGAATTCCCCAGCGGCGTGTTGTGCTGTTCCCTACTTTCTTTCTGGGAAAATGGTGGGGGGTATTTGTGCGAATAAACTGGCTCTGTGCCCTCTTCCCCGACATGCGTGCCAACGAGTCAGATGTGCCTTGTTGGTGTACAGAACAGTACAGTACGTTTTCTGTTGGGTGGGGCTTGACTTTTACCCCCAGATACAGTACTTTTTTTAAAAGTCAATAAGCATAATGATGTATAGGAGAAAAGGTGGAGAGCTGAACGGGAGTCAGTGGAAAGGTCCTGGAATGCGAGGCTCTCCTTTCGCACATCTCTGACATGTCGGACATGAAACGGAGAAATCGTTAAGACGCTGTGTGAGCCTTTCGCAATAAATGTTCCTCAGTGTTTTTTTTTAGGAACCCAAGTTTGAGTCATAGACAAACGCAGCCCAACAGATTATTTTCACAACAGAGAAACAAACCCCGAGTACGAGACGCAGAATGGACACTACTGTAGGGGGAAGTGTGTTTATGATTAGGAACAGGAAGCATTTTTTTACACAAAGAGGTGTGGGGGTGTGCAACAGGCTACCCAGTTTTGCCGTTGAAGCCGATACTCTGGCTCCCCTCAAGAAACGGCTGGATGAGATCATCAGCTCAATTAGCTACTAGAAGTCAAACAACGAGCCGAATGACTTCGTTTGTTATCGGCGTTACGGGGTTGGGGAGGGGGGGTTATATTTCAAATCTAGGGAACACAAAAATATTTTGCCCAGCACACTCCTAAAAACGCCATGCCAGCAGCGAACACACACCGCTTTGAACTCGACTGAAAGACGAGAAAGACACTCGGCGGGTTTTCGCTGCAGAGACGAAGTTCCTGTTTCTCTGCTTTTTGCGTCTGAGAAAATTTGGAAAAGTCCGCCCCTTCCCTCCGGGGGAAACGAGCCTCTTCTCGAGCAATGTGACCAGAAGTAGCGTCCGTGTCCACACAGCCTGCGGGCCCGGAGCTGCACCTCTGTCCTCATGCGGATCCGTGGCTCCTCTCGCTCCTTCGTCGGACAGCGGCCGGATGAGATCACGGCGGCGAGTAAGTAGGGGCTTCCGTCCGCCGGGTACGACTTCGGTGTGTGAGCAAAACAGCGACCAAACTCCGCTGCCCCCCGCAGACCTGCCGAGAGGCGTTTCGGCTTTATCTTGAAGTTTCTGAGAATGACCTGATTTGTACCTCTGAACAGTAGTGAGAAGATACACAAGCGTCTTTCGTGTGGAGTGTCCTGGCCATACCGGCTCCACGTACGGAAGCCCTTGCGTGGAATAACCTCTGTTCATCAGCGACGTTACAATACCGGTAATTCTGTTGTGTTTTAAAGGCATGTCGGATCGGTTGTTTTGTAAGTCCGATCATAGTCGTTTGATGCAGTATAGTCTTTGTTACACGGAAAATAAACATCTTTAAGCTTCGGTGGAGGGGAGAGACTCCGTCACACGAATAATGTATCATGTTCGTAAAAGGTCGTTACTTATTTCTAGAAATAGGAGTAGAAGTCGCGTTTCTTTTCTTTAGTATAATTGTCATAATAGTGTAACTTAAATTGTAACAAGTAATGATTTCGTTTAAAAGAAGACGAGAATAAGTTGCCGTCTCGGTGTATTCCTAAAATTGTCGACAGTAACACAGTAGCATTATTATATTAATAAGAATTCCGACCAGACTGATCCTGGGGAAAAAAAATCAAACCCTCACCTTGGTTTGAGACCCAAGTCAACACTCAGGGGGTGTTCATTGCTTCAGGAGATGTTGCTTTGACCGATACTCATAAAAAAAACAAACAAATCATTTCAACCCATCCAGCGTTTACCCACTACACGGACCCACAATGAGGTTTACGTTTATTGGACGCAACTGGAAACTATGTGGAGGTGCATTTCAATCTGGAAACAAAACAGAGGAGGCGCTTCTTTACACAAAGAGTGGCGGGAGTGTGGAACAGCCTGCCCAGTCAATGTCGTTGAAGCCACGTTTCTTTCAAGACACTGCAGGAGGAGGATTAATTAGGTGCTGAGCAGGTAAGCGAGCTGGGTGGGCTATATGGAACGGGGAGCCCTGCGAGAGCGAGCACCTGCAGGGATGGAGCACAGAAATTATCAGCTATCGGCTTGAAACCTTTTCCAGCCCTGTGCTGGCACTGTGTTGGCTGGGTTTCCTCCCACGCTGCCACGCCACACCAGCCTGAAAGGAGGGAGAAACTCTCTGGGCTCCTGCGGGCTGAACACCTGTGAGAGCTTTGCCCGGGGTTCGAGACGAAGCGATCGTCAGTGCCGGCAGCCGGGAGGAGGGGTGCAGCCTTTCGTCCTCCCTCTCGCGAGCTGCCATTTGTGGCACGTTCTCTGTGCTTCTCACACGCTCTGCACCTGGCTGTCCAAAACCAGTTCTATATTTACACTTCCCCCCGGCCCGCCTGTAACTGTCTCTCTGTCCCGAAACAGCTTCCCCCTTCTGGCCGCAGCCAAGACGCTGGGGGCTTTCCTTCTGTCAGGATCGCACTGCGCCAAGAGCCCTCAGGACAGCGGCTCACGTCCCAAACGAGAGAGGAGTCACAAGACAGAAGGAGATGGATGTGCCTTCTTAGCGAAATAATTATCCGCCCGCCCATTCTCTAACCCCGCTTCTGGCAGTGCAGGGTCATGGAACAGCCAGAGGCTGTCCTGGCAAGCAGTGGGCACAAGGCAGGGTACACCCTGGACAGGACGCCAGTCCATCGCAGGGCACACACAGACACACGCGTGGACACACCCACACCAGGGCCAATTGTTCCTTCCGGTGTGGTTTTGTTTTGTGGGAGGAAACTGGAGCACCCTGAGAAAACCCACATGACCACAGGGAGAACATGCAAACTCCACCCAGACAGCACCCCAGGTCTGGACCTGCGAGGTAGCGATGCTGTCCACTGCGCCAGCGCTCCTCCCCCTCCCCGTGATATAATGAGTCAAATATCAGGAAGGGAATGAGAACTCCACCTCCAGGGCTGGAGATGCCCAGGTCTCTTCTGAGACAAGCCCAGTGAAAGGCAATGTGGTTTGTAGAGGGTGTGGAGCCGGTGTGCTCTGGGGAGGAGAGGTGCTGACTCAGGCTGAGCTTGGAGATGTGTGGAATCTCACATCAGGTCACCCTGGTCCTGGGGACACACACCCTGGTCTCATTCCAGCCCAGCTCTTTGCTTCACTGATGCCCTAACTGGACTAACAAGTTGCTAGTTTTTCTTCTGCTCCAAAGCTGGTCTTGAGTTACTAAAGAAACACAGAGGTTAAAGGGCAACACCCCTCGTGTAGGGGCTGACAATTAAAGAGCTCGTATTTATCTCATTATTAGGGCAATTAAAAGATGCAGTCATCTAACTGAGAGATCTGCTGGAAAGAAAAGGCGTCTGGATGAGATTCTGGCGTCGATTAACTACTAATTACTAAACAAGCTGGAAGGGACGAACAGCCTCCTCTCATTCGGAACTGTTCTAATTGTAGAACATTTCACAGCCTTGAGTGATTGAACTTCATGCTTTTCTAACAGATCTGCTCATCAGCTTCACCGCGTCGGTCAGTTTGCAGCAGTTCTGGGCAACGGGGAGGGGGGGGAGGGATCTTTCCCGATGGATCAAGGCTTTGGAAGGCTCTCCCAAAGGGCGTCGGAGACACGTGTCAATATGTCACCGTTCACATGTCCAGTTGCAGGAGGACAATTCAAGGATGAAGCCGTGGAGCTGAAGGAGCTTTCACAGTGGCAGGTTCTGGGATTGTCTGAACGGGCCGGCGCTGGTCCGGGATCTCCTCAGCCGTCTGCAGGACAGTGATGACGTAGGGCAGGGGTGGCTGGGCGGTGTGCCTGAAAGGGCTGAATCTGTGCCAGAAGCGTGGGGTCTTTTCCTCGAGTGGACGGACCTGCGGACTGCGTCTCGGCGGACAAGGACAACCCCCGACGCGGGGAGTTTTAGCACGTCCTCGTGCTCCATCTGCAGCAGGGCCCGCCGAGCCAGCGCGCTTGGCGAAACGGATCATCCTGTCTGCAGGGCCGAAGGTGCTTTACCCAGGGTGGGCACGGGGGCCTGCCGACAAAGCCCAGACCTCCAGCAGGAGCTCCAGCCCGCCATGACACAGCCAGCCTCAGTTCCCCAGCAGTGCGCCACTTCCTCTTTCACAATCCGCTGTCACGGGCCGTTGCGTCCAGCTGTAAATCTGCAGCATTGTTTGTGTTCCCTGTCGTTAAATAGCAACTTCCCTCTTGCCTATTAAAGGTCAGTGTTATCAATGCAACTGATACCGCGCAGTGTAAAATAACAAAATTGCAATGTATCTTTTTAAAAAATACACTGGGCCTATAAAAGGTTCCCTGGCCACTTAAGAAAGCTTGCACATGAAAAGAGGCTGTTCAGCCCTTGACGCCCCTTTTGGTTTTTAATAGCTAATTAAACCAAGGATTGAACTGGCTGCTTCGCCAAGGAAACCAGGGTATTGTGTATACTAGGGGCTAGGGGTCTTAACTCCACTGGCCGGCCTTTATCAATCATGTCCTCCCAATAATCCCCAACTGTGAACTGGCTTCATCCCTCTGTTCTCCTCCCCACTGATAGCTGGTGTGTGGGGAGCGTTCTGGCGCACTATGGCTGCTGTCGCATCATCCAGGTGGCGCTGCACATTGGTGGTTGTGGAGGGGAGTCCCCATTACCTGTAAAGCGCTTTGAATGGAGTGTCCAGAAAAGAGATTTGTAAGTGTAAAGATTATTTTTATGATGGGTTTCAATGTGGCAGCTGGGCAGCCTGTTCTACACCCCCACCACTCTTTGTGTAAAGAACTCTTTCCTGTTTTCAGCCCCAAGTGTGCATCCATGTACTGTCCCTGTGTCCTGGGATTCCTGTTCTCCCCTTGATCCTCAGGTGGTCCACTGGCTCTTTGATCCAGAACAGGACTGGCAGAGGGTCGCTAGGATGTACAGGGGTTAGAGAAGTCGGGGCTACCGCTGCGCCCCTGAACAGCATTGTCTCTGTGCCCTGTTCGTCTCTTCCAGCTGGGGCGCAATGGAGGAGGCCTACGAAGAGCTGTACCAGCAGTTTATCCGACTTCGCGACATCTGCCTCCAGCAAGCCGCTCTCCTGCAGCGACTGACGTCTGCCCAGGGACGGCCCAGCGGTAAGATCGTCCCTGCTGAAGCCTGACGCGACTGTCCATCTCCGCCACGGAGGGCTGGGGGCTGCTTCCCGTGTCCTTGTGCTCTCAGCTTGTACCCTCTCCTGATAAAGCCTGAGATGGGACAATATTGGAGTATTTGTACTGGTCTCGTTTGCCAGCACTGCCCCTGGAAGTTCTTGTTGTCAAGGAAAAGGGTGCAGAGAGCTTGAGGAAACTGCCACCTGTGCCCGGGCCGACATACACATACGAACCTCCAGCCTTCGAGCATGTAGTTGTCCTCTGGTGTGTGTGGGCCCAGGAACCCGTTTCCTGTCTCCTCCTGCTACACCGTCATCATCATCAGGATTCACTCTCTTCTGTTCTCTCCATCCCCCAGCTTCCTCTACAGCCCCCCGCGCTGACTCTGGCGCCCCCGCCTCCATCCCTGTTCAGTGCACGGAACGGGAGAGGCGCCTCATCGAGGGCCCCTTTCCCCAGACCCCTGCTGTGGCAGCAGTGACGACGGCGCCCCCTCCTGGCCAGACGAGGAGGTGCAGCCCAGGGGTGGGAGCGAATGGGGACGATCACTGCCTCCTGCTTGAACGAATACCCAGACTGCAGCTTGGCACACGCCAGCAGGCGGGGGTCCCTGATCCCACCCAGCTGGCCACAGTGCCCCATGGGCCAGATGGCATGGGGGATAACCTGATGAAAAGAGTTACGGCGCCCTCCGGTGGAGCAGGGTGGTCACCGCAAGCAGATGAGTGGGCAGGGCCCAGCCAGTTCTACAATGCGACGGGGGCCTTGTGCAGCACAGAGGCAAACACAGAAGACCAGCAGACACGAGCAGAGCGGATCAGCAAGGTAAGGCCCATGAACGTCACACCTGTAGCTTCAAAGCCAGGAGCTGGAGAGCAGAATCCACAGTTTATTGCTTGCTAGGTTATTAGGGTTTAAATATTTGCTTATTTCGCTCATGTCGATATGTTCTCAAGGTCTCTTTATCATTTAAGATTTCGTACTAAACTGCCTGTGTGTTGCCTCTCTCTCAGATGCCTTGGATGATGAGCTCCTTCCTGGACAGCGACCTCCTCAGTCGGGGGGGCCTGCTGCTGTCGGAGGTCACGCTCAACTCCCAGGTGTGCGAGTTCTGCCAAGCGGTGTTCCCCAGCGACACCACCACTCGGGGGGAGTTCCTCCGGCACCTCACGGCGCACGTCACCTAGCCGCCCCCCCCCACCCCCGCACGGCGAGCGGCCGGCTGTAGGACAACCCGCAGCACGAGCAGGGGGTAGCGGAGTTAGGGCTCAGGATGTGCTGAACGGCCCCCTGGATGTGTGCAGCTGTAACTGATCCAAACCAGTGCTGTCAAACTGCTCCTCAAGGGCCGGCCCAGTGCCTTCTGCTGCTCTCTCTGCAGTCGCCACCTCTCTTCCAAACCTTACCCGGCGGCTGTGGAGGGGAAGGGAGGGGCTGGTGTGGAAGTCGCATATTTGTTACAATTCTGCACCAAGGCAGGAGTGGAATTGGGTGGAAGCTGCTGCACAGACACTGGGACCATGAGCAACAACGCAGTCCATGCATGTAGCACGACCGTCACACGAGCTGTGGTTGAACCTGCTCTCCCCTAGATGGAGCCAGCCTACAGCTTGTGCGTTTTGATCTCCCATCTTGGCAACCTTATTAAGAAGGCATTCATTAACTGTTTCCCCAGTTTATGTAAGAAAATGTAACATTTGCAGCCAACGGTTTGCTTATGAGTAAACTACTAATATTCCCTTGATTACAGCTATGTTGATCTGTTTGTTATGATTTTCAGAGCTCTTTTTTGTGGGCAATTTAAAAAAAATGTAAAAAATGTAAAAATGTAAAATGGTGGTACTGTGTGAACTACTAAATTTGTAAAGCACGCTCTTCTTTTCACCTTCACTTTGGAATTTGGTGCCCTCCTGTCTGTAAATTGTGCTGGAATGCTTTGGGAAGGCAAGGAATTCCACTAAAAAGTATTTGCAGGAAGGCATGCAGGAAGGCATCCAGTAACGCCTCAGTTTGGCACAGCCCTAATAAATACGAATCTGGGAATCCTGCCCGTTTCCAGCTGTTAGCTTTTAGAGACGGTGTTGAAAGGTTATGTAAATAAAATGCCCAGGGAGGTCAGTGCAGCAGCCATGAACACAGTCCAGAGACACTTGATCTTAGCCAGAAGGGGCAGAAGCGTTGGTGGTACAGTGGTGAGCGTTTCAACAGTTGACCCACATTCATTTTCCAAAAATCAGTCCAAAGACATGCTTGTAGGTAAACTGGCTTCTGGGGAAGTTGTCCCTGGTGTGTACGCGTGTTTGTGTGTGCCCGGTGAGGGACTGGGGTCCCATCCAGGGTGGACCCTGCCTTGCTCCCGTTGCTTGCCGGGAGAGGCGCCGGCGGGGTACCCATACTGGATCAAGCTGGGAGAAAATGGATGAATGGAGGTAGTGACTGGCTCCAGTGGGACAGCAGCTGCAGTACCAGTTTCAACCACAGTGAGGCAGCAGATTATTTTGTTCTGGCATTTGTTGCTTGTTTTTGTTTTACAAACAAGATGGAGGCCCATCTGGCCACTGGCATTGTTCTCCGTTAAGTGGATTCTTAGGGGAGAGAAAGATGGAGCAAAAACTAGCACTACAGCTGATAAAACAGTTAACCCACAAGATTTCCACACAGGAAACTAAGAGTAAAGGGAAGTGGGGTGGTGGTATCTTACACAAAAAAAAGTGACTGTTTAAACAAAGGGTCTTTACAGCAAAGAGAAATACACTACAAATACAGAAAGACTAGGGATGGGCTGTATGGTTCTTTTTTCCAGTAGACCTACAGACTTAATAAGGATCCTGAAGACCCTGAATAGGAACAGCTGTCTTTTTAAAACTGTATAAATTGGTACTACCCCAGGAGGAACATGAGTGTGGCATGAGGCTAAAGAGATCCACAGCCTTACCTCATGTAGATAAAAGGAACAGACCTGAGGGAGAGAACACGGACACCTACTGCTACACTGAACCCCCAAGGAAGCTGTGAGCTCACCAGCACTACTGAAGAGCACACAGTGGTGAAGAGCTGGTGACGTTGAGTCCAGTAGTCATGGGGTTGGTCATGACTGCGCTGACCAGCTGCGTCAACCCAGGGAGTTCTTCAGGAATAGCCGCATGCCCTTCAGGGATGAACTAGCTCCAGCCATGGTCATCCTATGTTACTGCTCTGAATGGGTGTTTACGAAAATACCTTCCCCTATGGCCAGTGGCTATTCCAGATGTTATCCCTGCATTTCAGTTATTTTTGCCACATCACGTACAGCAGGTGTCCATTTAAAACACACACGCAAGCCCATGCAGGAGAAATGACCCTAGCCCAGAGTTACTTGGGCCAGCTCAGTGCTTAGGCAGGTCAAACCCTGACCAAGTGGTGTTCGTGCCCCGACAGCATTTCATTTTCTAGGCTGTAATGAAGTACACTCTGGAAAGCATGTTGGAGAATCCAGCATCCTTTTTTATCCCATCATGAAAGAGGTTGCCCCTGCCACTAGACTGTTTACAACCAGCAGTGAAGACCAGAGCAGCCCTGGCTCTGCAGCATGAGAGCCAGCAGACCCAGCCCCTACCATGAGCTGCATCTACCCGCCAGGGCCAGCAGAGGGCGCCCCCGCTCACACCTTCTCTTCCCCAGGTACAGCTCTGACGCACCAGGTGCCTGTTTCACCACACGGCCTGGTTAGGAAGGTGTGGGCGTGAGGCGATGTTCTGCTGGCAACGCTCCGGGGAGAGGGTTTTCGGCGCGTGGGAACGCTCAGGTATTCACACCTGTCCGAGCGCCCTGCCAGAGGTAAGGCCACTGAGCAGCTCGAAGACGAAGAGGGACAAGTGAAAGCCCCGCATTCAAGAAATTCCGTTTTGCAGTCGAGTTGTGCATGTACTACCCGATAGATCCAGATGAACTAGATTGTTGGGCAGCACCACTGTGGAACGGCAGCTATTCATTCGGCATTATCAAACAGTTACGATTTCGCAACATTCTTTTCAAAATTGGAGGCGCAGTAGCTCACTGTTCTAATGGCAATGAATCACTGCAGGTCCAGAGCCACATTAGGAAACAGATTCAGATTATGTAACTAAACAGCCTCATGCAGCCCTAATTACAGCAACTTCTTCCAGTTGTCCCATGTCAAGTCACCTCTGCAAAGGATTCTGGGTACCAGCCCCGCTCTCCAACAAAGTCTGATTGGCTGCTGAGAAACCTGCAGTCGGTGCATTTACACTCAAACACCTGCTGCCCAGCATGCTGCTCTGTTTAGCTCGCTCCTGAGACGCATCCTAGAACACGGGCAGTCATAACCATAAAGGTATCAGCTCCTGAGTGAAGGAGTGTTTTTAATCTTTCGAAAGAGGAAAACGATGAACAGGGCTACGGAAGATGCATCCTCTTGAAAAAGCCATCAGTGATGTGGGCTGCTACAGCACCACCGTGCGCTCCCACCAGCAGGCGCCTGCCTGAAGGCAGACTCCCGCGGACCACAACACGCAGCCTGCTGTCCTGCTCAGAAACCCAGAGGTCCAGTTTTTGACTCCGTCTTTATTGTTCCATTCTGGAGATTCAAAAGGTGTCACAGACTTTCCGAAGAAAGGGTTTTGAGAAAGGCTTGCTCACACAAGATGCAAGAATCAGATTTAAAGGAAAAAAAAAAACTCATTAAACCAAGAGTTGAAAACCTGAGAGCTGCTAGGCATTAAGTGGCGTTTTACAGGTGCCAGTCAGGCTGGTCCGTCGGTATCGTTCCCACACTCGCCACCTGACCGGGCCAGCTCACACTCGGCGTGAACAGAGGCGCGGTTCTGTACATACACAAATATAAATAAACTACCTAATTTACTCCACAAAAACTTTTGGGACAGACTAAAATGACGGAACTCCCTCTCCTCCCTCCCACCCTCAACAAGACCCCCCCTTATCCTTCTCGCCGAGCCGTCTCGCCGAAGGGTACCTCGCCCTAACGTCACACCCCCTTCTCCAGGTAAAACTATTTGTTCTTGCACTACCTTAAAAATGGACAGAATAAGTACAGGGAAAAAAAAAAACAAACCAAAAGAGATCATTACAGGCGGGAGGAAAAACAATCACTGGTAGCGGAAATCAGAAGTTTAAGGCTGCCGGGCGCGTCCCCGGCTCGGGGGGAGCTGTGGGGGGGTTACATGACCTCGTAGCCACTGCGGATGGACTTCATCAGCAGGCAGGCGAAGATGACGCCCAGGACCTGCAGGGAGGGGGGGGAGAGAGAGAGAGGGAAGAGTGATTACTCCGTTCCTGGCACGCGAGCCGATGGGAACGCTGGGGTATTCCCGCCTGTCCAAGGGCCCCGCCAGAGGTGTGGCCACTGCCCCGGGCTCGAAGGGGGACGGGGACAAGCGTATGTCGCACGCTCGGGAAGCTCAGGTCAGCGGTGGGGCTTGGAGGAGGAAAGAACAACCGGGCAGAGGGAAAATACAGAGGGAAGAGAAGGAGGAGAGGAAGAGAGACTTGGAAGAAAAACAGGGGGAGCAATCAAGTTCCATCTGCCAGGTGAAAACACAGGAAGATGGACAGAGACAGGAGGACACAGAACAGGGGGAGGAGAGGACCCTCAGAGCTCTCGCAGAGGGGAGAGGACCCGTGAGAGGCTGTCAAGTTCCTCAACCAGACAGCACTTTGTTTCCCCTCTTCCCCCAACCAAGGGGCCATTCTCTCTTAAATGCTCCTTTCTTCTCTCTTATAAAACATCGAGATCATAAGTGTATACAAACAAAACAAAATTCACAATAAACCCCAAAATACACAATTCTCTCCACGTCTTTTCAATCTTTTAAAAAAAAAAACGACAAAAGAACACATACCAAGACAACAGCTAGTCATGAGAACAACTAAACACTGTTTCTCTTCTAGAACCCCACCATTGTAATTACTCAGCTCAAGAGCAATCATCTAGCCCCCCCGGTTCCCCAACGGCCCAGCAACGCTATTGACCCCCATCAGCTGGACAGCACTCCCCGCTTGAACGCCGACGCGCTCAGATCTCGCGGCCGCGCGGCACAGCCGTCACTCATCACGCCACCCGCGACTCTTTCACAACATTCAGCTTCCTGCACCCCTCCCCCCCGTCAAAGAGCTGGCCGACTACTCTGAAAAATAAAACTGTCGAACGTTCGGCACTCCTTAACCAAAGCACAGGAATAAAGCTCGCTAGAATACGTCGGTACCCGATGTGTATTTTAGAAGGGATGCTGAGGGGGGGGGGGTTTGAAAAGGGGTTTCCCCAGGAGAAAAGACTGAGCACTCCTGCACATTAAAATGCCAGTGCCTGCAGTGGGCTGGGCAAAGCCGCAGGGAGCTTTCCTCTTCATTTCACTGGAAAGACAAGCAGCCCAGGTAAGGCCAGCATTGACTGAGCGCTCCCTTATCACACGTCTGCACCGACGAGCTCCGCGTTATCTCACGGAGAGTTACGGATCTTCCCACACGACCTGCTATCTGATGACGCAAACCAGCCCGGTTTCTCCGACAGTGCACACACAGAGACACGGCTCTTCCTGCTTCGCCGAAACTGGGATTCCAGCCGGACCATCGGCCCGCTGCTATGACCGCCAATCGCTTCCCGCGCATCCGCCGCGGGGGTGGTGTAAGCGCACCCACAAGCGACCCCTGCTGGGGTTCTGGGGGCTGCTGCCGGCCGGAGACAGATCTGTTGCGCCACGCCGTCACTCAGTCAAGAACAAATGATGGCGACGGACGCCAGCGACCACATTTTACTGCAAACCGCCACATTGCAAACAGCAAACAGCAGAGTTTCCAATGGAAACTACATGGATGTTGGCGCTTCCTACTTGAACCGATAGGGTGCGCTGACGCCCTCCTGTCACCCGTCACTTTGCACTCCCAGGACACAAATGAACAGCGCTAAATACCTCCTATCCTACCATATCTCCTTGCGTTACTTTCAAACAACCTGTAAATTGTAGTTGTATAATTTATTGTA